ATCCCTTAACTGAAAGACATTGATGACTGTCTTAACCGTGTATGACTTGGACTGTTTGATGGACTCTGATATCTCTATTTCCACAAAAGTAAAAGTCTATTTAAACTGCAGTGTCTCTGTATGCTGGTTTGTGTGTTCTCCAACAACACTCTCACAACTCTTCGCTGAACGTACTCGCTCTCCCAACGGGGAGCTTACCTAACAACTACCACTTCCTCAGGCTGCTTTAGGCAAGGGGCAAGCAGTGTACATGTGCAGAAAACTGCTTTGTTTCTTTGCTCTGCTGTGGCCATTAGCAAAACTGAAGGAGCACAGGCAACTGCACAAAGCGGGATCTGACTCAGCTTCTTCTGTCTACCCTGCCATGTGCTTATTTAGATCTGATTTCTAATTTCCGATTGACCTCACATGGGCTGGACAGGGAGAGCCAAAGGGCAGGATGTGGCCCAGGGACCATAAAATGCCCAGCTCTGACCTAGGATATCATTTCGGTCTTGGGAGTAAGGCAGATCAAATCCTCAGTAAGTGATTTGCATGACATTACAGGACTTAGTTGCATGGAGTAAGTTCAAAGGTGGATTCCTACCGGTTCGGACCAGTTCAGCCAAGTAGGTAGTAACTTGGCCGCCCATGCACCCAAACCAGTTCTATTGTTGGCAGTGCCATCTTGATTTTTGGTTCTGCACATGCGCAAACAATCTCCATTGCAGAAATGTAATGTTTTCCTTTTTCCAACATTCTGCGCATGTGCAGACCTTTTTAGGTGTAAATGCGCATGTGCATGGAGCACACGTTTGGCATGTGCGTGAGCAAAGCAAGCGAGCACAATTTTTTTTTTTGCCGGTAGCAACCCACCTCTGGGTAAATTAGCTTAGCCCTAAACAAGTCTGAGAATATTGGGGGGCCAAACCTGTTTTTGTTGGTTATATCTAATATAATCAATTATAATTTCTAACATTATAGAAAATTATAATCTGTGGGTTAAAAAATTCAGATGGCATGTTTACCTCCCGTGAGCCATATTTGGTAGTCAGCCCAAAATCCCATGTTAAACTGTTAATGTGTTAGTCAGAAATGGTGCCACTGAATTACTGGTATACGAGTTCTATGATGCATTTTGTACCCCAAGATTAAATACAGAGTGATGTAGAATTTTTAGAATTTTAACTTTCATTTCAAAAACTCTTCTAGCAGTGAATACCTATCCAATAGGGACGCGGACTTTACATTTCATAAAGAACACAGCAAAAGTTTTTCAGTTCAGGGTTCTTAATTTCTTATGAATTGCAGAAGCTGATTAAAATAATGAGAATTTATTTGTTCATCTAATTGATATAGGTGCCCAATATATACAAGGAAGTAACTTCTTGTGGCAAAAAATATATATTTTCAAACTACATTAATTTCAATTATTTTTATACTGAGAATTTTAGCTTTCCTTCATATAAAACGTACTCACCAAACAGTTTTTCTAAATGAAAAACGTCTTGTTTCCATATAATTTTATGAGGCATAAATAATGTTGCATAATTCATTCAAGTTTGTCTGTGTGTAGGCTGAGCTTACCTGTTTTAATACGTCCAATATAAGTTCACTGAAGACCTCATTAATGCCCATTGAAACTGTTGTTCCATCCAACCCTTTGCTAAACCGACCACTTCCAATGAGCTCAATCAGTTCCCAAACAGAAAGACCTTCCCAATTGGCATCCAAACTGATCTTATAATGTTCAAACTGTTCTTGGTGCCAACCTAATCCCATTGCTTCTGTCAGCTTCTTAAGCAAATATTCAATCTGTATAGAAAAAGATACACAACAGCTGAATGAATGTAACAAATATGTGTAGGAAAAACTATTGCTCTAAAATCTCTCAACACTGCACAACTGCACTTTTTTTGTGTGTTCCTTCAAGTCAGTGTTGATTCCTGACAATTGCCTCAACATGCCCCTGCATTTTTCTTGGCAATGTTTTGAAAATGGTTTGCCATTGCCTCCTTCTGAGGGCTAAGAGATACTACCTTGTCCCAAAGTCACCCATCTGGTGTGATGCCTCAGGACTAGAACTCACGTCTCCTAGTTTCCAGTCTAGTGCATTAAACACTGAATGCAACTGACTCTCTTGTACCACTCATATGACCAAAATATTGGCTGAAAACTGAGCTTGTGAGAAAAATAGCTCTGTGTCAGTAATATGTATAATTGCCTGGACCAACATACACAGAATTGACGGATCATTTTTTTCTGTTAAAAATCAGTGGAGAGAAATTATTCTGTTATGTAAAAAAATACTGTAAAAAGTCATCAGTTCTACTTAGCTCAAAGAAAAAAAAATCTGATGCTTTCATACCTCTTCTGGCACGATGATTAATGGATATTTGTCTTCAGATAGAAAATTGAAGATGACCCATACTTTAAAAGCATCTTCATCAGTAAGGAGTAAGGTACTTTTCTTGAGATTTTTTCTGGCACACAGAGTCCAGCACATTTTATAGAATTCAACTTTGTCAAAGTTGTCTTGAACCTAAATAAAATAAAATAAAAAGTATGGTACAAGACTCAACAGTAAACTCAGGATGACAACAGCAACAGTGGGAAGATGTTGTGAATTCCACTCCTAAACCAACAGCAAAGGAGCATTTTCTCAGACAACTGAAGCTAAACAAAATACCTATTGTGTAGACTTTCTCAAAAACCACCTCTCCAGCTATTAAACACTGCACTTCATCTACTTCCTTGATTACAGCGGAACATTTATTTTCTTTTATGACCCTGTAATCCCTTAATTTGAGAAAGAGTTGGGGAGACTGAATGAAGCTGATTTACTGGCCAGATGTCCTTCCTGATGCCTATGTGGAGTTTGCAACAGGTATTTTCTTTTTGCACCCGGAGAGAGAAACATCTACTATCCTAAGGATTAATCATCCAAGTGAAAGATTAGCATTTCTACCACTAGGCCACCACACTATTTTTGATTACACTGATAATACTAGCAAAAAAATAATAATTCTTTGTTCAGACTTTATCTACTACTTATTTTTACAGCAATCACTGATTTTTCTTCTTTTTTACCCTCAAGGCCACATTATACTTGAGTGTAAATATTTAAGAAGCAATTGTTTAAAAACCATGAACTTTCTTGATACTTGTTGCTGTAACATAACTTGTTCTTAATTAGAAGTTTCAGATTCAAAATCTAGACTGTAAAGAAAAAAGAAAAAAAGAACTGTACTACCCATTGCTTCTTTTTGCTAAACTGCCAGCCTGGGCATTTCTCCACTTCACTCCCAGTTCAACAGTCCACACTTTGTTGAAAGCTAAGACTTGCCCACTGAGCTAGATAATTAATTCATTTGCCATCAAGAACAGAAGAGAAAGTATTTTGTAAATCTAATTGGTATGGTCAAGGTGTTTTCCAGGAGACATGTGAGACAGGAAAACGAATGTTAAACCAAGAGTTTATTGTATTTCTTGTGGAAATTATCTTGAATGATCTGTGTGTAGATAGGATAAGAACAGAACAGAACCAGTGCTCTTAATACAGCTAAATAAACTTTCTAGATTTCAGTCAAAGCAAGCAATCAGTAAGAAAAATGTATATGATAATTGATAAAATATATTCTTTCCATAAAATATCATTGCCTAAGAAACTGTATTTATATTAACACAATAGAGTGATACTTGGAATGTATGGCCAGAAAATTCTGCAGTCTTAAAACACTGATATGCAAGCAATCACTTTAACGAAAAGGTTTTTCAATCAATAACCAATATATCCAGGTTGATCCAGAGGTGGTATTCAGCCGGTTCACTCCAGTTCAGACGAACCAGTAGCGGCGGCTATGGCAGGCTCCGTCCACCTGCCCCGACATAATGCGCGAGCACTGCGCATGCACAGAAGGCGGTGGACCTGGATATCTGAGAGACCGCCTCCTGCTACATACTTCCCAACGGCCAATAAGAATTCACAGACTGTGCCTCCTCCGGGTGCCGTCGACCGGACAATGCCGGCTGGCGGCCCCTCGGGGGAGAGCCTTCTCTGTAGTTGCTCTGGCCCTGTGGAACGATCTACCCGCAGAGATCCGGACCCTTCCCACTGTCGCAGCCTTCCAAAAAGCCACCAAAACCTGGCTGTTCCGGCAGGCCTGGGGCTGTTGACTCATGAATGAGGTCCAGCCCCCAGCTAAATCAAGTGTATGGTATGTTCTTTTTAAATTGTTCTTATCTTTCCCCTTTTTTTATTTTGTTTTATCTTGTATTTGTAAGCCGCCCGGAGTCCTACAGGATTGGGCGGCATATAAGCTTATTAAATTACGAATTAATTGCGGTGCATATACGCAGACATTTGCAAACCAATAGGGAAGGTAAGTGAATCCCACTTCTGGGTTGATCCATATATAGTAAGAAACTACGTAGCACATACTAAAAAGCATGGTAAAAGGCCAACCATATTCTACTATATAACTTTAATATAAAGACATTAATATGGGAAGAAATGGGGTTATCACTTCCTTCCCCCGTGTTCCCAACCTGGCTCAGATCATCAGGCATGGTGTTTGCACTGAAAAACAACTTTACCCTGAAACCAATGAAAACCTTTCCCCTTGCACTGAATCTAGTCTTCTTTGGGACCAAAGTTTCACTATTTAAAGATGGTGCATTGTTTAACACTACGTGCAGAAGACATGTGCCTATCGTGTTGGTAATTCAAAACTGCTTCTTTGAATCTCTGACTGAAAATTATCTTCTACTAGAGAAAATACCCTACATTTAGGAGAGAAAGAATCCTGCAGAGGGCTGCAATGGTGACACACAGAAAATCTTACCTGTGTTCACTTTGTGTGTGCCTGAGCCTTCAAGTCATTGCTGATTGCTGGCAACTGCTTGGACAGGTCCATGCAATGTTTTTGGCACTGCTTTTCCTAGGGCAGTGCTTCAAACAAAGACAAAGTGACTCGCCCTGAGCCATCCAGCTGACTTTGACGTAAACAACCCACTCCCCTGATGTCTAGCCTGGTGATTTATACCACTGCATCAAACTGCTTCTCAAGTGGCTCCCCAGAAACCGTTAATTTAAAGCTTTCACAGTTTTGAGAAGCAACAATTTCTTAGGACTTTGCATATGTCTCACCTCATCCAACGTCAAAGAAGCAGATAGAGCTGTCTATTCAGGAACCTTTCTTTCAAGTGCTACCAAGTACCAAGATAATTCCTCTCCAGAAACTAACTGCTTTCCTGTGTGTGTAACTTTAAAGGAGAAATCAATCCTACACAGAGATATAATCTGCCCTTTTGGGAAGAAGTAACCCAGTCCTCAGTCTAATTCTTATGCCCCCACCCCTCCTCTCCACTTTGGCTCAATCTCTCAACTTAATATGAAGGCAGATTCTTAAAATCAACCACTTTTGTGCAAGCCCCACTTTGCACAATCAGATATTCAGAGAAGTGGGAAATAATTCTACAGCTTCCTCATACCTGAAATCAGATTCTTGTGGTATTTATTACCAGCTTCCAAGTTGGTTATATTCACCCAATCACTGAGTTTCAGTAAAATGATGAAATAACATTGAAAAAATAAAGCTCGGGGGATTTTATTTATAATTAGACATACAGAACAAGGAAGTTCACCTTTTGGAGATAAATATTTACATCTTATTCTATTCCCAGATTTTGCTACATATTTTTAAAAGGATAAAAGCTTTTTAAGCTTGAAGAAAAAGGTTCTTCAAAGTTTTGTATGTATATTCTCTAATTTTAAAAAAAGTAGCACGTTAATAATGATGGCAAACTATAATCCCATACCAGTCAAGATAGTTCTAACATTTGCACCCTTGTTGTCACCAAATTTATGACTACTCAACTTTGTTGCTTTATATATGACAGAATAAGTATGTGCCAGTAGTGAGTTTCAAAAAATTTTTAAACCTATTCTGTAGGTGTGGCCTGTTTTATGGGAGTGCCTTGGTGGTCATGTGACCGGGGTGGGCGTGACTTGGCAGTCGTGTGACTGGGTGGGCGTGGCCAAGTTGGAAAATGTGATGAAACTCACTTAACAATGCTCTTGCTTAGCAACCAAAATTTTGGGCTCAATTGTGATCAAAAATTCTCTCCCTCTCTCCCCGTCTTTCCATCTCTCTCTCCCTCTCTCCCTCACTTCCTTCCTCTTTCTTATTCTTTCTTTCTCTCTCTCTCTCATTCACACAGACACCATTTCCCTCATGTCTGTCACTGACAGCTCTCAAAGATAAGGAAGGACTCCTGCCTTGGGAAGGGGTTGGGCTAGATTACCTACATGTTCCCTTGTATTCCTCTATGTTCTCTGTCGCAATTAGTCACAAACAGCCTCATTCACTTTAAAGTTGGTCGCAAACTCCACTCACCCTACGCGTGCCCTGGTCCCACCCAAGGAGGCGAGCTGTGGAGCAGGGAAAAGGGGGGGGTCTGTGGCTCCACATCTTTCGATCTTCTGCCCTGCCTCGGTTCTGCAGGCAGGTGGGTGGGTGGTCGGCGCGGCGGTGGCGGGGGAGTCGGGGCGCTGCCCGCTACCCACAGTGAGTAGTAGTCACCGCCCTGCGCTGCGATCACTCGCAGCCCCCTCATTTCCAATTGGGCGGGAGATCCATGGATTCATGGAGAGGGATGGAAAAGATGGATTTCTTCCTCCCCCCCAATTGGAAACGAGACAGCTGTCAAAGCAAGGGAGTGTGCCCCACGTGGCTTGTTCAAACAGAAGAATTAACAGGAAGGGAGGATTCGTTGGATAGGCCAACCAAGCCAACGGGCACGCACTGCTCTTTCCTCTGACAGCCACCTCATTTTCAATGAAGGGGGTGGGGAATCCATGCAATTTCCTACCTCTGCATGGATTCCCCACCCTCCCTCCGCGCGCACACCAGCCAAAACCTGGGGGGAGATCAGGCCAGGGGAGGGACCGTTCTGGTTCCAGGCCCCCAGAAGCTCCGGTACGGGAAGGCACGCCAAATTCTTTCAACCGGTATGGGCGTACCATTCAGAACTGGCTGAAACCCACCTCTGGTATGCGCCCAAAGACTGCTTTAAATATATGACTAAAGCAGCACAGAAGTATTCTTGATTTAGACCACTCACTTAGCAGCTGTTCAAAGTAACAACAGTCCTCCCTAGGAAAACATGACCCGGTTCCAACGTTTCAATGGCCACCCCAACCTGCAGTCCTGTTATTTCATTTTGGGTGCTCAGCAACCAGACCGGATTTGCCGCATCTTGGGAATACATGACTGTGTTTTATGTTTTGCTGAAAACCACCATTTACTTTCAGTTTTTGACAAAACCAGACCATAGCAGACAACTGATTTCCTTAACAACAACTGCAAGAAAGATAAAACCAGCTGAGTCATATGAGTGACCTGCTTTACAATAGTTATGACTTACAACTGTAATGGACAGACTCCATTATGGCCATAAGTTGAGGACTCTCTGTATAAATTTTGCAAAGACACACAAACACACATAAAATCACATCTACCAAGTAGTCCTTATACAGCAGCATGAGATCCAAGAAAAGTCATACTTTCCATACAGTCAGCTATAACAATGTTTTACTAGTCTAGACAAAAAACTGTTTAGAACGCTACTACTTATTTGAGGTTACTGGAACCAATTAGATAATTCTGATAATTTTCAGACAGAGAAACTCATAGAAGTTTGTCTTATTGACAATTAAATCTTGCAATTGCTTATTCCTTCACCATTCTTTCCATTTCATGAAAAAACATGATTAATAACAAAGCAATAGGTGATAAATCTGAGCTAATTTTTCCTATGTCTATTCCATACTTTTAACTTACTTCTTATTGAATTATTATTGACTATTAGACACTGTATCCAGCTAAAAGTGATTATATAAATTACTTGGAAATCCTGCTCTCTCAACTAGTCTCCTGGCTAACTTAGATAGCCGGCTTGATAATACAGTTTGAAGTTTGGCATTGTCAAGCTATTCTTTTTCTGAATCTTGTAATATCTTAAATTTAATTTCCTTCTTTTATCAAACCATATAAAGGTAGTTATTTGTCTTCTCTACTCGTTAATATCCCATTTTTAATAATTATTTAAATAATTTGAAACAGCAAGTTACGTCTTGGCAGAATGTGATTATATCTCTTTGCAACAAATCTAGGCTGATCGGGAAATAATAACTCAGTTAGGGTTTATTTTCTCTGCAAGTATTGCTGTAAAAAAATACTGTATATTCAGTAAAGAATCACTTTAGACTGCAAAGACCCTGTTCTCAGTCAAATGATCAGAGGGAAAAGAGAGACAGTTGATAGATTCCGAGTCAACTTTTTTATAGGAAAGCAATTGAGGTTTTTTTTTTTAAAAAAAAAAAATTCATTTGGAACTTTTTCTCTACAGCTCCTGGTTGGATGCTTCCCATTTCCAAATTTGAACCTTTTTTTTGGGGGGGGGGGGTATCTCTGTCCTATTCTGTTCATTCTTTGGAGAGTTATCCAGGTGACTAACAAGAGTTCCAAGACAAAGACCTTTACATATTTCCAATATTTTGTTGGGTTGGAAAGAACAAAAGCTTAAATGAAAACTAACCATGCAATTAGGAATAGAGGCACACATACCTTTTCCAAGATGAATTTATTTAAATAAGGCATATATCCCTGATTAGATACAGGCCCTTCATCATCATCCCTAAAATGCTCCTCTAAGGCCACTGGATCATGAGGAACTTTCAACAAAGTGCAGAGGTTGTGAGAAAGGACCTAAAAATAGAGAAAAACAAATTAATTAAGATGGTTTCATTGTTATTTTCCATACCTGTTTGTATAGATTTCTGGATAACAATACAGATATAGTTTGCTACTATTTTTTTCTGGGATGCTATATAATTCCTGATGCTATTAAATACTGAAGGAGAAGGGAAACACTTGCAATATTGCTTTTGAGAAAATACGGACTCTATTGGAACTAATGAGATATATGAATGACAAAAGGGAGTTTGCATTTTAAAATTTAGGAGTTCATACAGAATAATTACTACACCAAAAATGTATACTGGCTTGAGAATGAGCATGTAAACCTATTTTAACTCTAGGCTTGAAATATAAATGAATAAAAATAATGATCCACAAGTAAATGGTCATAATCTTTATTCCTTTACTCCAGAATTAGTAAACACAGAAAAAATTCCTAATCTCTTTGTCAATGAAAAAAGAAATTTATAGAGGACAGATCCTTTAGAAGCCAGTGATCTGCATATTTACAACCAACGCATTCCGCAAATGTATTAAAAGCAACTACGAGCAGAAGGGGCACCTTTAACACTGAAAGCCTGGAAACCATTCCAGAACATCATTCCCACAGCAGATTCTTTTTAAATTTTTAGAACCGAAAGCAGAGGTGGGTTCCTACCAGTTCGGTGGAACCAGTTCATCAAATCTACCGAACCGGTTAGAAGAGGTTCCACCAGTGGACCCGGAAAGCAAGCCACACCTAAAGAGGTTCCAAAATGTTTGAAACCCACCACTGACACACACACACACACACACACACACAGAGAGAGAGAGAGAAAGGAAGGAATAAATAAATAAAGAAAGAAAGAAAGAAAGAAAAAGTGAGAGAGATGAAAGAAAAAAAGGAAAAAGGGACAGAGAGACAAAAGGAAGGAAGAGGAGAGAGAGAGAGAGAGAGAGAGAGAGAGAGAGAGAGAGAACACATGGCCGGCAAGCCACTCTCACCAGGTCACATGGCTGGCAAGCCACTCCCACAAAGGAGGCCACACCCACAGAGTAGGTTCGAAATTTTTTTGAAACCCACCACTGACCGAAAGTAAGGAAAGCATGACTTCTAAATTTCTTTCTAAACTCTCTATCTACAGCAGTGGTAGTCAACCTGGTCCCTACCGCCCACTAGTGGGCGTTCCAGCTTTCATGATGGGCGGTAGGGGTTTGCTGTAACTCTGCTTTATCAATTCTATAAATTAAACTTACTTCAATACTTTATAAATCACCATTACTGTGGAACCGGTGGGCGGTTAGAAAATTTTACTACTAATAGAGATACAAAAGTGGGTGGTAGGTATAAAAAGGTTGACTACCCCTGATCTACAGCATCCATCTGTGTTTCCTTTTATGTAACAAAGCAACATTTTGTTTATATAATTATGTACTTTCTCTATATGAGGTATTTGGAGAGTCTCCACTTATGCATTCCCCCCCCCCCCCATGTTGTGCATCTGAATGCTTGTGCATGCCCCGGAAATCACAGGGGAGACTGCATAATCTCTGTTGTAGGTTACATGACCAGGGTGAGAAGAAGAAAAGGTCTTGGAATGGAGCATACAACAACATTCTGAACATCTGTGTGTGTTTCTCTCATACGATTCATAAAAAGAATATGCAGGGAATTTTTTCTGGCCCATCTTCAAACTCAATCCAAATCCATCAACTGAGGGAGGGACAACTTGGAGAGGAGCAAATAACAGCATGTGCACCATAATGTAATCACCAAATGTCATGTCTTACATACTTGCATCATTACCTCCTAGTATTATTAGTAAGATTAATGTCATTGAGCACTTGTCATTTTGAAATTATCAAAGATTTCAACTAATGCTGCTGAATTAATATTCTTTTGAAGGCTCCAACATTGGAAAGTTTTAAGAAGAGATTGGATAACCATTTGTCTGAAATGGTATAGGGTTTCTTGCCTAAGCAGGGGGTTGGACTAGAAGACCTCCAAGGTCCCTTCCAACTCTGCTATTCTAATAATTCTAATCAAAAACTGTGTGCATATATATATATATATAGTTGTATAAACAATTTAGACGGGGGGGGGGGAAATCACAGTACTTTCATTTCAGCTTGTTTTGCATATAGGAAGGGGTATGTCTTGCATATCAGGAGGAGCATTCATATCCCTTTGTGCATATCAGAAGGGGTAAGATTTACATAATGGGAGTATTTGCGAGACAAAATGGTCAACAAACCCCTGCAGATTACACACTACTTTGTGACACTCATGGAAGCATTGTGCAACTTTGGCGGATCACCAGGTCAGGAAGGGGTGTACCATCTGCCATTTTGAGTCAACAGCTTGCTCATAACTACGAGTTGTCTGTAAGCCGGATGCTCTTGCATTCATTATTGAAGATCCTAACTAAACACAACCACCAATAGTTTGAATAATGAACTAAAGAGTCCTGTACTTTACTGAGAAATATGAATAATGTGTTAGGTCAAGAGCAGTCCAAACAATGTTTTGGATCAAGTTCAAAGGACAAAGGAAGGAACTGGAAACATCAACCAGGCAACTTTCACAATAACCTTGGCATGACATCAAAGCACAAACCAATAATGCTACATTTTCCTCTGTCAGAAACCCTCACAACCTACAAATATTCTAATGCTCACCCAACTCTGATAAACTGAACTAGCTTCCTTCTATGCCTGCTACCTTTAAGTTCCAAAGTATCTTACAATATCACTGATGAATGTTCTGTGTTCTTTATAGTTTGACAGAAAAATGTTAATAATGCAGAATGCCAGTATTCTATATGCTCGTCCAATTCTAAGGATTTGTACCTTTTATGAGACAAAACAAATACAAAAGTCATCAAGACTGCCTTTGAAGATGGTCCAGGAGCTTCAGTTAATTCGGAATTCAAATATCTGGTTATTACCAAAGCATACAACGTTGCTTCTGTAACAAATTCCCAGCTAATTCTGTGCTTATCAGCTTAAAATAGGTTTGGTCCAAATAACTTGAAACACTGCTTACACCTGTATAACTCTGCCCCAGGTCCTAGGAACTTATAACACTGGCTAGCAAAAGAGATATGGCATTTCTATGGTAGCCTTTCGGTCATGAAGGCTTACCTGTTCCAAGATAAGAATCATGCAAGCCAAGCTATTGTTATGACATTCTTAAGGAAAGGAAAGATGGACTTTGAAGACAAAGGACAGGAAGACTTTAAATCACGGGTGTCCAAACTTTTAGTTTGCCTGGGCCATATTAAGTAAAGAGGAATTGTCTTGGGCTGCATATAACATACAGTTAGTAACACAGTTAGTGAATATAAATAACAAACTTCCTGTTAAAAGCTTACAATGTTGTGGGGCTACAATACTAGCTGTCCAAGACTGCATGTGGCCGGCAAGCTATGGATTAGATGCACCTGCTTTAAAGAGATGGATGATTATCTATTTTTACATGAACCAATGAACATTTTTATTTTAAAGATTGCGCTTTTACAGATAGTCTTAAAAGTTACTCAAGAGCAGGTGACTATAGTGAGCACAAAACATTCTGGGAATGCAAGCAGCAGAAACCACAAGTAATAAAAGGAACAGGGTAATAGGAAAATAGTTAGAAGGTATGGGTGCTCCAACATTGGAAGTTTTTAAGAAGAAATTGGACAACCATTTGTCTGAAATGATATAGAGCTGTGATGACAAACCACAGGTGGCACACAGAGCCCTCTCTGCGGGAATACAAGCTGTCACCTGGTTCAGCTCTACTGTGCATGCACGTGCACCTCCTGACAGCCAGCTGATTTTCAGGTCTCTGCCGTGCATGCGGGAGATGCACGTGCATGCATGGGGGAGCATAGTGTGCGCCCCCCATGTTCCATTTTTGGTGCCAGGAGGCTTCTGGGAGGTTCTCCGAAGCCTGGGGAGGGCAAAAAATGAATCTCCCGGAAGTTCCAGAATTCCAGAAATGGGCCTCCGGAAAGAGGCCTCCGGAGGGCCTCTGCAGCCCAGGGGAGGCCGTTTCCACCCGCCCGGAGGCTTGAGAAAAGCCTCCAGAGCCTAGGGAGGGCAAAAACGCCTCCCACAACATTGTTGCAGGAGGCTGAGTAGGCCATGGGAGGTTCGCGCACACAGGTGCATTGCATTATGGGTGTGGGCACACGGACAATT